CCTTTTCTGTGGGTCCCCACTGCAAGATGCTTTGGACTTGGGGAAGGCTTTGGGACCTTGTTCTGGGCTAATCCTGCTTGGGTGGACTTTTACCCACAGGGGATGGGTAACTTTGGGTGCTTGATTTAGAAACTATATTCTTTGCCTTTTCTGTATTGTTTCCTAATTGTATTTAAAGTTCCTTCCCATTAAAGTCTCATGGTTTGTGTTAATGCAGCGGATGGCAGAACCTATTTAGAGCAGGCAGGGGAACAGAACAGGCAGACTGACCGAAGTACACTGCTGAGGGGAGCAGTGGGCGAGATAGGAGAGGTCTGCTGCACCATGTGGGTTGCTCCCTGGCTGGCCAGGAATCCATCTCATGCTGCAGAGGCTGTGGTTTGGTTCATAGTGCGGTGCTTAACCCCTTGTGCCACCAGGGAGGCCCCCCACAATAGATTATGTTTTGTCTTGATGTGGAGTGTTGTCGTTTTTAGAGTCAAAGGATTTGGAGTGTGGGGTCCTTGGGTTTACTCTGAGAAAGGTTTCACTAGAGCTCCCCGTTCAGCAGCACATGGTGGGTTTCCCAGGTGAGTATCTCCATGAGACAGAGACAGTAGTTATATTAAAGGGCAGGTTTATAAGGGAAAGGGACAAAGAGACACTTACATATACACAGGTGGGCAGGAAGACCTGCCCCAAAAGGGACAGGATTGCTGAGAGCGCCTATATGGTTGCAGGTGGGCGGCCTGGAGGAATGCTGCCTCCGCTGAGGGAGGTCAGTGAAGTCCCAGGATGGTAGAGGTCACAGGCAGTCGGGAAGGCTGCTGCCCTGCAGAGGGAGAGAATTGGTACAAAGAAGCACCTGCATAGTCACAGGTGGGCAGACGGATTGCTGCCCTGAGCCTGTGCAGAGACTGCACTGATATAGTCTTCTTCTGTTTGGGAGGGGCCACTCCTTGTGAGCCTTGGGTTAGTTACTGATTTTGGAAACTATGCAGAATCTGAATGGAGCAGGAGATTCCACAGTGGGCTCAGTCTCCATATCTTTACCCTTGGGCCTGTGCTCTGGACACTCCCTACAGCAGCCTGATACCTGCTTGGGTCTTATGCTTTGTGATCTAGGTGTTGGTGCTTAAGGATGTTGGTTTCCACAGCTGTGTCAATGGCTATGCTAATCCCTCTACCCCTACCTCCTTGTGTGAGCCAGGTTTCTGGTCTTGCGGCTCCTCCTTTTTAGTTTTTTTTCTATTCTTGTCCTCCATCATGGAGGATGGCAAAACCTATTTAGTGTTGGGAGTTGTGGGTGCCCCACTCCCTGGCCTGTAATACTTTTACTTTAAATATTCACACTGAGCTGACTAAAAATATTTGGGGGTACAAGTAATTTCATATCATCACTGGCCTTTATTATTGACTTCATCTATCTGATCTTTGATGAAATTGATATTTTTCTAGAAACTAACTCTTAAGGTTGATGAGTTGTTTGTGATAATAATGCGATGATGATGATGTTGAGGATGATGGTGATAAAAGTCATGGCAGCTATTGCTGACACTTCCAAAGAGTGTTTAAATGCCTTGGTCCTGTTCTCAGTACATCATATACATGAACTCCACACCATATTCCTATTCAAATTAGGGTTGGATGTATTCTTAAGAAGAAAATGTCTAACTAAAAAAGCATTTTAATAAGATTCTGACGTTTTTGTTGAAACTCCCTGGATTAAATTTATGTTTCCATTTATATGAAAATTTCTCATATTAAATGCATTTAGAGGTTAGTTCGAAGATGTACATTTGTGCTCTTTTTAAAAAATTATGTGTTACGTTGGGCAACACCACACTGATAAAGACATGGGAGTCGTGGAGCAGGCTGCACAAGGCAGGATGCTGCTGAGGGCAAGATCCTGGCTGTTTTTATTTATAGAATAATCATAGAGCATCAGCTACGTGCACTAGGAGGACAAGGAGAAAAGGATGGTTGACACTCAGGAATGTTATCTAGGGCTTGGAGCAAGCCTGCTGACCATGTTATCAGTGTGATGACCAGGTGTTGTAATCGAAACTAGACCCCAGACCCGCCCTGGCCGGCAGTCCTAATCTTATCAACAAGGCTTTCCACTGATGAGCTTCTGGGGTCCCTTGTCATACATAGGTCCTCGGCCCCCTGGGCTTTTCCGGGCATACTCCTTGATGCATACCCTTCCCGGAGTGATCAAGCTTTCTGCTCTTGTTTGATATGAAAGGCACCTTGTAAGGTTTGGCTCATATGACTGTGACTGGACAGTTCTGACCTTTGTACGGGAATGGAGACTGCAGATAACCATAATGGTGGCTGAACAGTCTAGCGGACCCACAATTATGTAAGAATACAGAAGGGAATACAAAATAATATGTGAAATTTTTTATTTTATATTGGTAGATTCTAATATTGTATCTTCTCTTGACTTTCTTAATATTCAATTGGATAATATTTGGAATATTTGCCATTATTGTAATAACAAGATCTTTGCTTGTCAGAAGCATAAATATTACATTTTTTTCAAAAGATTGCCTTTAAAAAGGATAAAGTATTTCAGAAAATGAAAAGAACACTAACTGTTGGTGATTTATATGAGAAGCCTAAAGCAAAACTAAAAGAAAATTAAAATCATATACAAGGTCGAAACACCCAAGTGAGAGATAATCATGTACTAGGTTGTAAAATAATTACTTTAATAATTAACTGAATAAATTAAATTGATCATGACATTAAATTAATACATCAATTTTCAAAAAAGAAACTTCCTGTTAGCAAACAGAATTGACTGTATTTGCTAAATAAAAATAAATTGTCCAAAATAAAGGAATGAGTAACACCATACATGGAAATTCACTCAAAATGGATTGAAGACTTGGACATAAGGCCAGAAACACCAAGTACTTAAGTGAAAATTTAGGGGCTGCATGACAAAAGCCCTACTACAAAGATATATTTGGAACTACAACCCCAGCATCAAGGGAAACAAAAAGCAAAAATAAACATGTGAGATGAAACTAAAAGCATTCATACCACAAAAGACCATCATGCAAACAAAAAGGCAACCTACAGAATGGGAAAAAGTGTTTGCATACCATAGCTCTGACAAGAGTTAATCTCCAAAACTGACAAAGCAATTCAAGTACAAAGAAACAAATGACTGGAAGAAAACAATGTGCAGAGGACCTCAATAGACACTTGTTGAAGAAGACATTCAGATGGCCTGCAGACATATGAAAAAAAGATTCAAAATCAGTAGCAAGGTAAATGAAAATGAACCACATTGAGATACCATCTGACTGCTGTGAGACAGGCTCAGTAAATGGCAAGGAGCAGGCCAGACTCAACTCCCCACAGCTGGATGTGCTAACAGGTGGGGCCTCACGGAGACACCAAGAGCCCAATGCAATGAATTTTTACTGCAACTTAAGGATTAATATGGGCTGTTCAAAAGAATTGAGAGACAGATCTCCACATAAGCAGTTGAGATGCTGTGTAATTTTTTTTTTTTAAAGATTTTTTATTTATACAAGAGCTGGGGGAGAGGCCAGAAGCGCAAGAGAGTGAGAGGAGTCACCAGAACAGGCAGACAGACCAAAAGCATTGCTGAGGGGAGCAGCGGGCACGACAGGAAAGGTCTGCTTCGCCATGTAGGAATCTCCCTGGCTGGCCAGGACCCGTGCTGCAGAGGCTGCTGACAGTTTCACAGCACTGCGCTCAACCCAGTGCGCTACTGGTGAGGCCCGAGATGCTCTGTAAAATTTGTACTCCCCAGTACCCCCCTCCCTTTAGGTGTAAATTGGGATATTGCAGCTGATTCACGGGGTTACTGTGAGGATTGAATCAGATCTGATACATACTTATCTTACAGTTTCTGGCTAATAAGAAGTACTTAGGACTCATTTGCTACTAATTTGTTAATTACTATAATTGAGATTTCAAGCTGACTATAGACATGAGGCAAACAGCAATGGAGTTGGCGGGGAGGGGTCAAAACAGGGGAGAGAAGAGCACAAGGGACTGTGGTGATGGATCCTGGCAGCCAGGGTGGTGGGAGAACTAAGGGGGCTTCACCTGAAGGGCGAACAGTGATGTAAGAAAATATAAAATAAATTAAAAAAAAATTGGCTGTCCCTTTTAATTAAGTACTTGTTCCTTCCTTTCTTTTTTATGTAACTTAAATATGATTATATTTTTGTCATATTTATTTTTTTTTAAAGATTTATTTATTGATTGATTGATTTATTGATTTATACATACATACATACAAGCATTGGGTACAGTCAGAAGCGCGGGAGGGTGAGCGAATTCACCAGAGCCAGAGCGGGGAGCAGAGCAGGCAGAAGGACCGAAGTACACTGCTGAGGGGAGCAGCGGGCGGCAGGAGGGGTCTGCGCGCCATGTGGGACCCTCCTCCGGTGGCCGGGGAGCAGCCGGGGATCGAACCGGCGCCGCAGAGGCCGCAGGCAGCTTCACAACCCAGCGCTCAACCGCTGCGCCACCGGGGAGGCCCTATTTTTGTCATATTTAAAGTAAATTCATGTAAATATCTTTAAAGTCTTCATTTTCTACTAGTGGTGATTTTACAATGAATTTTTTATGAATACAGTTTCACTTACATTTCGACAATTTTTTTGGATATTTTTCCAACTTAGATTTACTGGTAAAATAATTAGAGTACTAATGAACATTTTGATAAATGTTGTCAAATTGCTTTTTGGTGTATTTTGGCCAATTTATATTCCTACCAGCTGTTATGAGTATCAATCTCAGGATGGCATCAATGGTCAAAAGCATTTGATTTTTTATTTTAACTTACTTTTTAGTAATAGGAAATTCAATTATTACTTTAGCACCTGTTTTGATTAGTGAGATTGACAGTTATCATCCTTCTATTAGCCATTTTTCCCTAGTAGGAGAAAAAACATTATAATCCAGGTCTATAGAGAGATACAATTTCTATTATTTTCCAGCAACTTCATATCTTCCTAGAGCTAAAATTACTTGGTGGACATGTGGTTAATCAGCCCAAGAAGTCTCTGGAAGCCCAGTCTGAGCTCATGTGTCCTGAGTGCATAGACCATGGGGTTGAGTGCAGGGGGAATGACGTTGTGCAACACATTGAAGAGTACGGGGACAAGAGGGACACTTTTCTCTACTAGGTGTGACACAGACAGCACAATGACACTTGTATAGAAGAAGAGGATAAGTATGAGGTGGGAGCTACAGGTGCTTAATGCCTTGGCCATTGCTTTTACTGAGTTCAGTCGCAGCACAGAGCGAAGGATTAGCCCGTAGGAAGAAAAAACCAGAGTGACATCAAAGCCAATTACAATCCATGCTAAGATCAGTTGGTAAAATTTGTTCATAGTGATGTCATCACAAGCCAGGCTGATAACCCCTAAGTTAGAACACAGGCAGTGGTTAATTTTATTGTTGGAGCAGTAGTGTCGCTGGGCAGCCAGTACAGGCACTGGGATGACCAAAACGCCATTTCTGAGTAACATGAGTACTGTGGATTTGATCACAAAACTTCCAGTGACTATGGAAGGGTAACGAAGGGGGTGACATATGGCTATGTATCTGTCAATCGCCATGCAGAGGAAGATACCAGACTCCATGCCAAAGAAGCAGTGGATGGCATACATCTGAGCAAAGCACTCAGGGAGGCTGATGATCTTAGCATCAAACCAGAAGATAGCTAGGATCTTGGGCATGATGGTGGTGGCCAGACCCATGTCTACTACTGCCAATATGCCCAGCAAATGGTACATAGGTTCATGCAGTGTGGACTCTTGTTGGATGGTGATCATGATGAGGAGATTTGCAACAAGAGCTAAGAGGTAGAGCAGAGCCAGGGGCAGAGAGAGCCAGTGCTGCCACTCATGAATGCCTGGAAATCCCATGAAGATAAAATGGGAAATCTGGAAAGAGGAACTATTGGTAATACTGATGGAGATATCCATGGCCCAGGTTTCCTATTCTCAGTGTCTGTCCATAAAACCGAAATAGGAAGAAGGTTGTATTTGAAAGTTCAGTTGAGGTTCTAGATCAGACATTCCAGTTCCTGACCCAGTTCCTTCTATTCATGAATTGTCTTCAACTTTCTTTTGGTTCCTGGAGATATTCCACAAAGCAGGAGCAGCAACAACAAAACAAATTAGTTCAAATAGAAGGTTAGAAAAACTTTGTCCAAATATATCAGCAATAATCTTATTACTACCAGATAAATATTATTTGGTTCATGTTCTTCTATTTTTTGTTTTATATTTAAATGCTTTACATATTATTCAGAGACAATTTTGCATTTTATCTTTGCTTTTAGCAGTGTATTGTAAGGCATAAAATAGGCACTCAGCAAAAATAAATGTAACAAACTTCAGTATCATAAGAACAATGTAGAGTCTTAATTGTAATTACTGTTTTATATTTCTGTATTTTGCTGTTAGAGAGCTTACTGAACAATATTTTGCTTTTCAATTTTATTTTTTTGAGTAGAATTTCAAACGACACAAAAGTGATACATAAAAAGTGCATAGCCCTCTTAAAAATTTATTTTTGACAACATTTTGGTTTTTATTAAGTATTATACATGCACATGATAAAAATTCCCAATCTTTTTCTACCAGAGGTAGTCAGTAATACCAGTTCCAGGGAATTCTTTCAGAGACAGTTTTTCTGTGAATAAGAATATATGTATATATTTTCACACAAAAGCAAATGTTAGCAGGTTAATCAAACCCCTTATTATTTCCATTCCTTTCTTTTAAAAACTTTTTTTGGAGACTGATATCACCATGTGTATGTTAAGTTGCAAGATTTTCTACCACATGGATATCCCATAATTTAATGAGAATTTTCAAGGACTTTCAATTTGTTTCCAATATTTTGTTGCTGGAAAAAAGTATTTAACAGTGTGCTTGTTCATATGTCTCTAAGCTTATTTATGAGTTTATCCACAGATTATTGCCAAGAAATGAATTTCTGGGTGAAATAGAAAAAAAAAAAGAGATTCTGATAGCTATTACCAAATTGTCTTCAAAGAGTTTTTTCTTAATCTGTATGAAGGGTTGGACATTTTAAATCCTCTTGATATACACTGAAAATTTTCTTCATAGACACATTGTAGAACTTTACGCACTAGAATGAATTCATGAATGTGTCTATTTCATCACAACCACATCAAAATTGGGAATTTTCATTTTTATGTTTAAATTCTTTACTGATAGAATAAATGAAAATTGATATTTTAATCTTAGTTCACCTTTCACTTCATTGTTTAGTGAACTTTAACGCTTTCAAAAGTTTTTGTCATTTTCATGCTTAGCCAGGTTTCTCTTTTGCTTGATGTCCAACGTATCTTGCAGCATTAAATGAAATACTGTTTCTCTGGTGCTTAGTATGGAGTGTGGTGGCACAAGCTTTGCATTTGTATCTGTTTCTTTATTAAGGATAGTCCCTCTAACTGTTGATCTTTTTGAAAACAATTCCTCCAATTTCCTTTTCATTACATTCTATGTATCTTTTAAATGTACACCCTGCAAATGCTTAACCTTTCATGTATTTATGACAGTTGAACTTTCATGTTGTTTCATGACGCTTAAGGATTTACAATGTAAAATACAGAAATTCAATGTTTACTTTCTTTATAAAATGATTTAAAAATTAAATTTGTAACTGATTTGAAATCTGACACAGAATGACAAAATATCTAAATTCATTTCACCCACATTGAGACAAATCATTATTCCAGCACCATTCAGTAAATAAGTCTTCTCATTAATTTGTAGTAATCATGTTTTAAATCAAATATTAAACTCAAACATATCTCTGCACATTACTGCTGGACTGGACAGTTCATCATTTAAGTTCATCTCAGTGGCAGTACAATGATTGTATTTAACATATGTTAAGGAAGAATCTTCCTGATGATTTCAAATAATTTTTTTAACTAAAAAAAGACTTGTAACTGAAAAAGTGGTGGCTATTTGCCACCACTGCTTTCCAAAATTAATAGCTTTTTAGTAAATTCTCAGATTTTCTTTTTGGCAGAAAGCTATGTTTCCTACCATTAGGGCAACTGTGATATTGCAAACTTTTATTTTTATTTTTTAATTAATTTTTTTTCTGAAAGATTTATTTATTTATTTATAAAAGAACTGGGGTACAGGCCAGATGCATGGGAGGGCGAGAGGAGCCACCAGAGACAGAGCGGGGAATAGAACAGGCAGAAGGACAGAAATACACTGCTGAGGGGAGTAGTGGAACGAGACAGGAGAGGTGTGCACGCCACGTGTGACCCTCGCCAGCCGGCTGGGATCGAACTGGCGCTGCAGAGACTGCGGACAGCTTCACAGTGCTGCGCTCAACCACCTACGCCACCAGTGGAGGCCCTGCAAACTTTTATTTTTATATTTCATCTTGTTTATAATTTTCTAAACAGCATAAAAAAATATTGGCAGGCACTCTCACTTTCTAGGTCTGGACTTTGAACATAAAGCCTCTCGAGCTGTCTCCTGGGGGTGCCAGCCCATGCTGTTCTGATAGATGGTCTTTTTCACTTTCGATGGGTTGATGTCTATTTCTAGTTTTGTTTGAATCAGAAGTGGGTGAATTCAGTGGGTAGCTCTATCTGGGATTTTGAGTCTAATTTCAATGGGAGGATTTGCTGCCTCCTCGTTGGCAGCGCACCTCCTGGAGTGCCCTCTGCGAGGCAACCATTTGGTTGCTCTTTCCTCTGGCAGGGATTTCTACTTTCTCTAGCATGTCAGGAGGAGAGACAGAAAGACAAAACAATGGAAGCAAGTGAGAAAACCAAGGAGGGAAGAGAAAAGTGTGGCAGGAAAACAGAACAGAGACCTCAGGACACAGCAGGAAAACAGCCTCTTGCCCTCACCTCAGCCCCTGGTTCCTCCTGGCTGGGAGGTTCTGAAAGGATCTCCAAATGGAACCACCTTCTATAACTGCCCCTTCTGGCTACACCTTTCTTTTATGCATTTGTTGCTGTGAGCACATTGGTTCTTGTCCTCTGAGGCCTGGGCTGTTGCACAAATTACAGTCCTGAGATACCCGGGACATTCTCTGCCACTCCCTAGGTCCTCCATGAGACTCTCGCTAATCTTTTTTCCTCTGTGATTCAAGGGTCGGTATTTTTTTCATCACAGTCCCAAATGGCCTCAAAGATCTTAGAGACGCATTAAGTTCATCTCAGGGCACAGGAGGACTGAGCCCCCAGTCTTATGTGAGCACTATTAGATGAGCATCTCTGTCTTTATTTTTTTTAAGATTGATTTATTTATGCATACAAGAATTGGGGTACAGGCCAGAGGTGTGGGGGTGAGAGGACTCATGAGAGACAGAGTGGGGAACAGAACAGGCAGATTGACTGAAATACACAGCTGAGGAGAGTGGCGGGCGAGACAGGAGAGGTCTGCTGCGCCATGTGGTTATCTCCTGGGCAGGGGATCGAACTCATGCTGCAGTGGCTGCAGATAGCTTCATAGTGCTGCATCTTAACACCTTGTGCCACTAGGGAGGCCCCAATCATCTCTGTCTTGATGCAAGTTTAGGAAGTGGTGTCCCTCCCCCCTGCACATATGCTGCCCTTCAGTCTCTTCCGAGACAATTTTCCAGCAGATACATCTATGCTTTATCTTTAACCATTTTCTTTTTCATGAGTTCCTGCCCCCCCTCCCATATATATAAAATGCAGATGCCTCCTCTGCCGGATATCTGTTTGCCCTTGCAGATCTGTTTTGCACACTGCTCTGTAGCCACAGAGGTGGAAGTCTATGGCTAATAGCTTGTGGTTAGATTTGGCTAATGGGAGGAACTGGTAGGAGATAGAAGGCAGCAAGAGACAAGTTGAGAGATTTATTTTCCTGACTTATTCCTTACTAATCCACTGTTCTTCAATTCCTCTGTCCTTTCCTGAAAACCTCTGCTCCTGTCAGGTTGTTTCCCCAGTGGCTTTTGTCAATACTGCTGTTTCCTCCCATTGCCCCTCAGCCAGTGGCTTTTGAGGTTGCCAGCCCTAGTGTATGCACCATCCTTGTTTGTTTGTTCATTTGTTCTTTGCATGTCTTTTTAATATTCTCTTTATTATGAAGTTGTCTCAACATCCATGGGAGATTGGATCCATTTCACCTGTGGATTCCAGGGTCCGTGGATGGTCAAGTTCCTTGCATAAAATGACATAGTATTTGCATACTATCCCTATATCTGCCTATATTTTTTTATCATCTCTAGATTATGATCAATAACTAATACAGTGTAAATGCTATGTAAATAGTTGTACTGATTGTTGGGGGAATAATGATGAGAATAAAAAGTTTGCACATGCTCAATATGGAGCAATCACCATAGACCTAACAACATAGCATGTAGTTTTGATTCAAGGATGGTTGGGACATTAATCCCTTATCAGTTACATATTGTATAAATATTTTTTCCCTTTCAGTAGGATGTCAGTTTGTTCCTGGAATGCCAGCCTCGGTTCCCTTGGCCAATAAAAGGAAAAAGAGTTTGAGGAGAAGGAAAATAGTTTAATTTGTTGACAAATTGAGGCGGGCAGCAGACCACCATGTGCTCTTTGGCAGAGGGCAGGGGCATTTATCCAGAGTTAGAGGGGGTAGAAGAGGAAGAGGGCAAGAGTTAGCATCCTTACACATGAGCGTCTGGGAGTTTTGGTTGATGCCACCTTCCTTTCGCTATCACCTGGTGGTCAGCAATTTCAATGTGATCTTCCTAGCATTGTTCTTTCCCCTCAGAGTGTAAAAAAAGCAGTTTGCTAAACCTAGAGTGTAAATAAAGAAAGGAAATGGGAAAGTTTCTCTGGTGGGACAGAGGGAGACATATACTTTGTACCTGCATCATACTTAATCATCTTGTATTTTTGTTTGCTGTATAGAAACTTTTTAACTTGAGGTAATCTCAAGGGTGGCAGAGGACGTGCAGTGGAAAGTGG